AGTGCAGAAGAAGATGGTCTACATGAATGTACCCTTCAAAGGTGACCTTCTGGCTGACACCTTGAAGAAGAGGATATCTACTGCTCTCAGAAGGACATTCTTCGCTGCCACACTACGACTGACATTTTCCTCCCGGCCATTGCTCTTCAACTACTCTAAAGATAAACTATCGCATTTGACCACTTCCATGTGTGTCTACCAATTCACCTGCTGTTGCGGAGCGAGGTATATAGGTCGTTCGATGCGAGTTTTATCTAAAAGAGTTCAAGAACACTATCCCGCCTGGCTACGGAAAGGTAACAACGGAGCAATAAGGAGCGCCATTATTGAGCATATACTCAACACTGGTCACTCGATTTGCAAGGAGAAGTCGTTCAAAGTCATCTATAAAGTCAAAAGAAGCCTTCCAAAATCGACAAGCTTCCGTATACTTTGTATTGCCGAAGCCTTAGCGATTTGGATAGAAAAGACTGATTTATGCACACAGAAGAAACTTCTCCACCCCTCCTACTACCGTGGGTTTAATTTCAAGTTTATCTGTCATCAACATTTTGTTATCAATTTTGTTTTTGCAATCTTCGTATAATAATTTTTAGTAACTAACCCATTCAATCTTTTCACCTATTATCTAGTTTATTTTCATAATTGTCTACATACTCCTTCACTAGCATCTAATCTTTCTAAACATGTCCATATTACGTAACCCTACTCACATCTTACCAATCTTCACCCCACTTAGTTACAAATTTGATTATTAATCACACACTTTAATTTCTTACTTATTTTGATGATGTAATCAACAACCCACACTAACTGTTATTTTGATTTTCACAAACCTAATGTACACACACACACAAGATAATTGTATATATTTGTGACTGTACAGCTAAGTGAATGAATTTGCCGAAAAGAGACTCTTCGCTGAACTAATTTGTTCTTATTAAATAACAGGCACATTGAAATCGATAAAATTTAACACTCGATAAGAAGGAAATATCACACCACAAAGGATAAAACTTCAGGTTGAGGAAACAATCAGCACAAATACCAATATACAATTAGCCTAGAGGATGTGATAACACACAAAAACAACCAGTTACGTTCAAAGTCACCACCCAACAGAAGAGATGACTAATAAACTTGTGAAGAAACTTAGAATCTCACTTCAATTCAAATTGAAGTATACGCTGAAGCTGTTACCTAGTAGGGCAATGAAAACTTCGCAACCATAGAAGTATCCAGCTCAGACACACACAACTACATCAAAATTCAGGTGTAATCACCATATAAGTGACACTCGCAACTCCATATCTTGACAAGCCTTCTTTCTTTATACATTTGCTTCCCTTGATAAATTTCGATAAATAAAGGAAGACGAAATTTGCAGTATAAAATGATATTGTCAATCTATTTCACAGGTTCTCATCAGCTGCAAACTACCTCCAAGTGCGTTTATGAATTTACGTGCACTTACGGGAGCATGTACATTGAAACGACGGAAACAAGGGCTTCTATCTGGTTTTCTGAAGATATTCCAAGAAACGTGTGCCTGAAAGGAAGCAAATATTCTCAGAGTGCAATTACCAGACATATTGTAGATACTGGTCATCTCATAGAGATTTCTAATTCCTTCAAAATATTAAATAGACAATGAACAGCGAATTTGCTATGATTTGCTGAAGCGATCGCAATCAAACGATTCAAACCAGCCAGATTTATGCATACAGAAAGAGAGTGTGTGATTACTGTCTCACTTATTCCCCTGGTAAATCAATTTTGATTTTGGTTTGATTACATTAATAATTAGTCATCTAATTAAATGATCTCAACTCACTGAACACATCTTAATCTTATAAACTGTAACCGCTCTCCTTTCTTTCTTTCTTTCTTTCATAATGCTCATATTCTATTGGAAAGTAGATAAATTTGTTCAATTAGTAATTTGTATAAACCAATACAGACATGATTGCATAACATACAATAAGGTATAGATAGATATTCTAATGTCACACGTACACCATAGCTAAAACAAGAATTAATCTAACTAACATTCTCATTTCTGTTCCTATTAAAGAAGTCGAGAGAAATAAAAATGCCGCGGCTAAATTTATTCATATGGTTGCTTCTGAATGGATTTGTATCAACTAAGAGAAGACTAAGCTCAGAAATCAATGATACTCAACATGCTAGAAAAACAAATGATGGTACCATTTCAGCAGATAAATTAGGCCTAAAGGTAAGAGTGATTATCAAAAGTGCTCCTTGTCTAATAATAATAATTAGTCTGATCACCCATACTATATACAATCTGTTAGTTATCATCAGAAGACACCGATAGAATTTACTAAGTCGAACCGGGTGATAATTCCAGCTGACAATACTCTGGTAAGTTAAATCAATTTTTTGTTGTTGTGGTAACCCTGTTGATTCTTCACAGAATATAACCACAATGTTTCCAATTCATTATTTTGAAAATGACTTTAATTCTGTTCAAATACATTCTAGAGGTGAGTTTATAATTCTTTTGATTGTTTAACGATAAAATTAGCTTTGAGTTAGTGTTGTGCTTGAGTAGTCTGAGTGATAATGCTAAGTTCCATGTGAGACTGTCAGAGGAAGACCACCGATAATTTCTAATAGTCTCATAATTATACTTCCTAGTCATTTATATTTATATGAAAAGAGATTTGTTCATTAATATCCATCTTCACCTAACGATGTTTCTTTTGAATACATACCAGATATGAATGTTAGTGTTGTTACGATTATTACTGAATTGGGTTCCCAGTGCAACAGCATACAGTTTATATGCAAAACTTCAATTTCTCAACCGTGTATAGAGGCCTTTCTTAACCCGACTCAGAATCGACTCTAACCATTTATCTCCTCCACATTCTTACACTCCTCCAACAGGATCGAATTTTTCATATATACTATTCTGAATTATTATGAGTGATGTTGTCGACTTTCTAAGAAAGATGTATCCACTTGCTGAGTTAAACCAGAATAATTTAAGTTTCTGATGTAAACGAAAGTTAAATGAAGGTGTTGATTCCTATGATCACGGTGGAATCGATGGTAGTGATTTAGAAATACAGTCTAGCCTTAATTATCTCAAACTAATTCTCCCTTCGCATTTATCCTGGTCTTCCCACATCTTAACGAATCCACAAAACAATATACAGTGTGACATTTACATAAGGAAGTTAAGGCACTCAAGCACAACTCAACCGATCCATCCTCTTACTGTTTGTCAACTCGCGAATCTTATTTATTCTTCTTTATTCTTCATTTTTACTTAGTCTTCCCCTAGGTTGTATAAGAAAGACTATGTCATAACTAGTAGAACTGTGACAACTGTCAGTGGAGCGACTGGCATCCTATCGCATATCATTGACATTGTCATTATCGATGGGTACTTGATTTCATGCAACAAATTTGCTGAAGGAATTTGTCCAACTGTGAGCATCCACTTTACTAACTCGCTGCTTTCAGCTTGTGTCTCTCCGTGTAGAACAAGAAAGCATCTTATAAAAAGACTTTACGCTTGCACGTCTAAGTATAAAAATTCAACGATATCATATTAGCGGAACGTATTTTATGTGATGAAAATAGTGTCACGGACCAACCAACTATCTGACTAACTAACCTTTCCACTAGTGAATCAACAATTATCTCCATCCTTATTCCACCAAGCTTTACTGTTATCATTCTTCTAATATTTATGATTCTGTCACATTTTATTGCTGGTGTTTATTTTCTCATAAGTGTCAACATCATTTGGGTTCTCTTAATAATTGTTATTTCTTGTTTTTCCCTTCACCATGTTATGTCAAGAGAACAATAAACTCAGCACTCTGTAATATGCTAAGATTTCCATACTGTGTCGACAATACTGTTTGAAACAAACCCACTGTTATTATTTGTACTTTGCCCATTTTTGACTTTATTCCTACTGTGAATATGGACAAATTCCTGTGATTAATTTTTGTTGATATTTTGGGTAAATCAGATGCGAGATATTGTGACAAATGCTGAAAATTCCATGCTGCATTATAAGTACTGTTCGTTTTAGAATAAAGCAGATCAATAATAATTATTATTATGATTATTATTAAATGTGTCACAGGTAACAATGTTATAAGATTAGGAGGTGACAACATGAATACATCTTACCTGTTGTTAGTTTTCTGTTTCACGAAATAGAATTTTCATGTTGTACCAGGCTGTGAGTCATGCTTCTTGTGTGACTAGTACTTAGTTGTTTAGACTTAAATAAGTGAAGTAAAATTTCATATCTTGTTATCACCGATGATATTCTTAATTGTGGTGAACTGGAATATGCGGAAGACTGTGCTCTGGGAGTGAGAAGAGAGGTAAACACCGCTCTGACCAATCAGAAGACTCTAGGATATCTGGATTTCGCCCCTGGGTAATTCATGTTTTGTGTCACAAAAATTCGGAGACTTATAGGAGAAAACCAACAAGCTGGCTGATGAGGTAAGCAGCGAAGACAGGAATCCCTCCAGATGAATGTAGGTGATGTGGAGACGCAGGTGGTGAAGTTAGCCAACCAACCAACAACAACAACCAGCACCAATCATCATCAACGGGAGAGATTTAACAGAGGTCACCTCCTCACTTATCCAGGAGGAACGAAGGAAGACTTTATTACTACTGTGAATGTGGACAAATTACTGTGGTTAAAGTTTATCGATATTTTAAGCAGATTAGATGCAAAATTGTGACAAATACTGAGTATTCCACACTGTATTATAAGTACTGTTTATTTTGGAATAAAGCAGGTTATTAAAATGGTATTAATTGAGAAGATTTTCTACTCTATACATCATTTTCTATGTCTCAGTAGTTGACAATGCTAAACTCAAACCAGCAAAAAATGTTATTCAATCATTGCACCTCCTCGTGTATATATTTTGTATTTATTATTCCCTCGAGTTCCGAATGGAACATACGGTTTACACAACACACATCCACTTTGTTCTGTTTTGTGAAAATCTCTTCAGCTGGCTAGCCACACATTTGACCAAACTTTGTCATCTCTTCCTCACACAATCTCCTTCATGTCACCATTGTATCGAAGACCCACTCGTCGCTTCCAATTTGGATTCCGCTTGAGTGATGGCCTGCATTGCTCTTGATGTCGTCAGACGGCCTCCTCAATGTTAGCCCGATTCATCTACACTCTCTCCTACATCTTTGTTGAGCGATCGGCTCTTGGTTTGTTTGTTCCCATAGTTTTGTGTTGCTTAATATTTCTGACAACGTGATCCTCAGTATCGAGTCAGCGAAGGCAGCTGCTGATGAAAGTCTGCACTGGCCTGTCGGAAATTCTTTTTCTTGACACGCCAGGATTCTGTTCAGTACAGAAGAACCGACTTAACACCGGCGTTCAAAATGCAAATCTTGTTCCTTATGCTGATTGCGAAAGATGTCTAAACTGGTTACAGGTTGATGAAGATGTATCTCGCCTTTACGATTCTGCCTGCTTTGACATGTTCATGCATGCTGTGTACCTGTAGTTGAAACGATGCTTTCTAGATAAGTGTAGGAGGTCACCTCTGTTAAATCTCTCCTGTTCATGGTGATTGGTGTTGGTTGTTTCTACTGTTAATGTTGGTGCGTGGTTATCTTCATCACCTCCAGCTCCACATTATCTGTGCTCACCTGCATTCCTGTTTTCTCCACTTTTTCAGCCAGTTTGTCGGTTTGCGCTTGCAATTCTTCGAATTTGTTTGACATTAGATTTATATCATCTGTGATGCAATAATTATCCTTCTCGTAGGCTTCAAGTGACTTTAATGTTAGTTAGTTAGTTAGTTAGTTAGTTAGTTTCTTCTTAGTAATTCACATATTACATTGACTACGCCTGCTTTTATGTTGACACTGTACTGTTACATTTACTCACCACAGCTGCATTTGTGTTTGTCCACATCAGTGAGACTAAGGATAAGTTATCCAATTTTTTTAATACTCTAAAATTACTGCTTTCCTTTACTAATTTACTTATCCAATGTCTCCATATGGCACCTGGTCAGTGGTTCAATAGTTTAATACTCGCCACTCATATAGGTTACTTAAATTTGATTTCCTACCAATGCACTGTTTAACTTTACCTAGCCAATATTATGCTCCGTAAAGCGGAAACGTTTGACGCAAGATCAGTAATTCTATTCTATAAAAGAACCAACCCATCACCTCTATTAACACTTAAAATGTGCGCCAGTGGCACAGAGGTTAGGATTCTCGCCAACCATGCACATGATCCGGGGTTCGTCCCCTACTGACGCACACCTGCAAAATTTGGGCTACCCATATCACATGCTGAAAATTTCACACCCCTGTACCAAAAATACAGTTTGGAATCAAGCTATAATAAAAAGAACTTCTCCACTTGGAACTCAGAGAAGAAATGATTAAATGTTACAGAAAATAATTAATTACCTTCAAACCACTCACTTAAGGTTTGTTGATGTAAGTATGAAGAGACTGTGAATTCATGCTTTAGTCAATTTCATGTTACCCTGAATTATCTGTACAGACTATCATGTTATGCTTTCATGTTGTATATTTTTAAGTTAATTATCGCACTGATATATAATTCTGCATGTTGTTTTCAATGATTTCCACTTGTTGATTGTATATTGAATTAATTGATCGTTTCACAACTGTTTTCGTAGACTAGTAATCGAATACCACACTGAACTATTTTGACATGCATTATTATTATTCTCTTGGGTTCCAAGTGGAACCACAGGGCTTCAGCAATACACCTCCTTTTTATCCAGTTCTCTGCAGGCCTCTCTATCTCGCTCCACAACTGTTCATAGACTATTATCTTCTTCTTAAAATATCTTCTCCATTGTCACACTCTCATACATACACAAGCCGTCGTTTCCTATTCACGTTCCATTTGATAGATGTCATTCGACAGTGTCCTGAGGATGTGTCCTACCCATCCCTATTTTCCTTCTACATATTTGTTGAACAATAGCTTCTTGATTGATTTGTCTTGCTTTCTGACCTATGCTAGTTTTCAAATTGTCATCCATGCTGTCGCTTGTACTTTAAATGATGTTACCTGGATAAATGAAGGAAGTGACGTATTTCAAATTTCTCCTGTTGATGGTGTAGGTTGGTTTTCTTCATGGTTCTAAACCTAATCAATTGTAATATTTGTCTTAACTGTATAATAATTGACTAACTTGTGATTATATCAACTTCATATTTAATCAAAAGGTGTTATACAGATAGGAAAACTGTCTGATCATCATGAGGCACTGAGACAAATTAAAGTTTTCTCTGCAGTACAAAACGATTGTCAGGTAGAAACAATCAATACAGGTGAGTATTGCAAATCTGTT